GAAAATGTTTTGTATTAATTTTTGAAGACACACAACCAATGAAACGAAAGAACCAAAACTCAAAAACGAAATGAAAAGGAAAGATGGCATGGAATTGTGGGTGAAGTTACCAGAAAGTAACTGTATACAGTAGCATATGCTTTCCAGGGGGCCCAGCCAACAGAATGGCTGGGGCAGGTTCCACAGGGGATAATATATTGAGACACCCAAACTCATGGGCAGAAGGAGGAGCTACGCTAATACCATACCATGTCATTACAGAGGAGGCTGGTTTAGTCGTTTGTTGAAGAGTATCTCTGCCTCCAGGTCTGGTTTTAACCGGATAGATACTGGAATCAACAAGGGAGACCCACATGACCTGAAGGTGCTGCTGTGTAATGCCAGGTCATTGATTCATAAGACTACTGCCATCCACAACTTGATCATGGATGGAGGACTTGACCTGGCATGTGTAACAGAGACTTGGTTAGTTGAGGCAGATGGGCCTATTCTTGCTGCTGCTTGTCTACCAGGTTTCTCTTACGCACAGCAACCCAGGTCATATGGGCGGGGAGGGGGAGGTGCAGTGATTTTTAGGAAATTATTAGCTTACACCAGGCCTATTGGGAAGACCCAGTTTTCTGAGCGCATGTTCTGAAAGCTGGGCAATAGGAGCAGTACAGGATTCCTTTTGGTGTACCGACCTTCCTGCTGCACCAAGGATTCCCTGCCCGGGCTGCTTCAGGTCGTGGCGGATGTGCTCCTGGAGACACCTAGCTTGGTTGTCCTAGGGGATGCCAAAACAACCTTACAAGGGGTCACTTAGGACTTTGTGGAAAGTATGGCCTCCATGGGGCTGCCCCTAAATACCAAGTTTGGCCCAACTCATAGTCATGGAAATGCCTTAGACCTGGTGTTCACCTCTATGGATGTGGGTGATCTGACACAAAGCAAAAGTGAAACAAAAGAAGTGCCATGGTCGGATCACTTCCTGGTGCAACTGGACTTCTCTGCAACCCTTCCCCTCTGCAGGGAGGTGGGACCAATTCGGATGGTCCGCCCCCGCCACTTAATGGATCCAAATGGTTTCCAGAGAGTGGTAGGAGATGTTTTATCCCATGTTGATAGCCTTTCAGCTGATTCCCTGGTGTGCTGCTGAAATGCGGAGTTAACCAGGGCTATCGACTGTCTGGCTCCAAAGCACCCTCTCCAGTTATATGGAGCCCGGACAGCCCCATAGTTTTTTCTAGGGCTGAGGGCAATGAAACAATCGCTGAGATGGCTAGAGTGCTGGTGGCAAAAAACTCATTCTCTATTGCATCTGCAGAAAACAGCAGCAGGGGTCTCTTCCAGGTGGTTCACCATCAGGGCCCGCTAATTCTGGAATTCTCCTGTAGGCCAATCAGGTTGTGGATTCACTTCCATCTGGAGCTGGATTGGGTGGCTCCTGCAGACCAATCATACTGCTGCATTGTTCTAGGACCAATTTTTGCAGATAAAGTCGCTCAGATTCGGAAAGAGGTAGACTCCACAAACCTTCAGGGGAAATTGGGAACTAAGGGAAACTTGTTTTCCTAAGTCCAATTGCCCCATGGGGGAGAAGAGGGGCAAAGAGGGGAAGTGTGTGTGTGTGTGTGTGTGTGTGTGTGAGAGAGAGAGAGAGAGAGAGAGAGAGAGAGAGAGAGAGAGAGAGAGAGATATGCAAATTAACAGGAGAGTAGAAGGATGGAATGAGAAGCGTATGCGAGAATAGAGGACGGATGACCAAGGTACATGCTTGTGCAATGCGTGTGAACGGATGGTGCATGGGAGAATGGAGTGGCTCTGCTCCCACTTTGGCCTTATTCATCATCTGCTTCAGCCCCACTCACCACAGGCAGGCATGCACCCCTTGGCAGTTTTTTGGCAAATAAAGTCGCTCAGATTAGGAAAGAGGTAGACTCCACTGTGGGAGCAGGGCCAGGGTGGGAGAGTGCTGGAGTCCTGTCTAGTCAAGTTGTATGAGATCAATTCCAATCTGTTACCTCCAGGGATGTGGACAGGCTGCTTGGACGAGTGAAATCAACCACCTGTCTCCTTGACCCTGCCCATGCTGACTCATAAAAGTAAGCTGGGAAGGGCTGGGTGATGGGCTCTGCGGGGTGGTGAATGCTCTGCTCTGTGAGGGAGCCTTCCCAGACCCATTGAAAGAGGCAGTCATTAAACCGCTTCTTAAGAAAACATCTTTGGACCCAGGCAATATGGCCAACTATCGCCCAGTCTCAAATCTTCTATTCTTGGGCAAGGTGATTAAGCGAGTTGGTTGCTGAACAACTCCAGGCACGCCTGGAGGGTGTGGATCACTTGCATCCCTTCCAATCAGGATTCAGGCGTCATCATGGGACTGAAACTGCACTGGTCACACTGGTTGATTGATCTCCGGCAGGCTAGGGACAAAGGTGAAAGCTGTTTCCTAGTTCTGCTGGATCTCTCAGCGGCCTTGGTCGATGGACCATGACATCCTACTAGACCATCTAGAGGAGCTGGGAACTGGAGGCACTGCTGTACAATGGTTCCTTTCCTTCCTCCTGGGCCATGTCCAGAAAGTGGTGTTGGGGGATGAGTGTTCAGATCCCTGGGCTCTCACCTGTGGGGTGCCTCAGGATTCCGTCCTCTCCCCCATGCTTTTTAATATCTATATGAAGCCGCTGGGAGAGATCATCAGGGGGTTTGGGCTGGGTGTTCATCAGTATGCAGATGACACCCAGCTCTACCTACCTCTCCTTTAAATCAGAACCAGTGAAGGCGGTGAAGGTCCTGTGTGAGTGTCTGGAGACGGTTGGAGGATGGATGGCAGCTAACAGATTGAGGTTAAATCCTGACAAGACAGAAGTACTGTTTTGGGGGGACAGGGGGCAGGCAGGTGCGGAGGACGACCTGGTCCTGAATGGGGAAACTGTGCCCCTGAAGGATCGGGTGTGCAGCCTGGAAGTCGTTTTGGACTCACAGCTGTCCATGGAGGCACAGGTCAATTCCGTGTCCCGGGCAGCTGTCTACCAGCTCCATCTGGTATGCAGGCTGAGACCCTGCCTGCCCGCAGATTATCTCACCAGTTATCTCCCACTTGGACTACTGCAATGCGCTCTACGTGGAGCTACCTTTGAAGGTGACCCAGAAACTACAATTAATCCAGAATGTGGCAGCTAGACTGGTGACTGGGAGTGGCCGCCAAGACCATATAACACCAGTCTTGAAAGACCTACATTGGCTCCCAATACACTTCTGAGCACAATTCAAAGTGTTGGTGCTGACCTTTTAAGCCCTAAACGGCCTCAGCCCAGTATACCTCAAGGAGCATCTCCACCCTCATCGTTCTGCCCGGACACTGAGGTCCAGCTCTGAGGTCCTTCTGGCGGTTCCCTCACTGCGAGATGTGAGGTTACAGGGAATCAGGCAGAGGGCCTTCTCAGTAGTGGTGCCCACCCTGTGGAATGCCCTTCCACCAGATGTCGAGGAAATAAACAACTATAGTATCTGACTTTTAGAAACAGATAGGTAGCCGTGTTGGTCTGCCATAGTCAAAACAAAAAAATTCCTTCCAGTAGCACCTTAAAGACCAACTAAGTTAGTTCTGGTGCTACTGGAAGGAATTTTTTTGTTTTGACTTTTAGAAGACATCTGAAGGCAGCTCTGTTTAGGAAAGTTTTTCATGTTTGATGTTTTATTATGTTTTTAATGTTCTGTTGGAAGCCGCCCAGAGTGGCTGGGGAGGCCCAACCAGATGGGTGGGGTATAAGTAATAAAATTGTTATTATATATATAGTCATTAACATTAAACAATGATCCTGACTGTGTTGTAAAAATATGTTATTATAATTTCCTAATTTCCGGTGTGGCTGATGAAGGTTCCTGATGTAAACGATGGGTGTTAATATAAGAAATAAGTTACCACTCTATGCATTGGAATTTATCTGTGTTTGCTTTTTCATTAATAAACCTGTGGTACCAAGTTATTTCTTCCATCAGCATAATAGTCCAGATACCATGTGGGCAATGCAGTGTTGGCCAGTGTCTTACATGATACCACCTATGGTTGAAGAGAGTCAATTCACAAATTGGGAATTCCCAAATAAAACTGCTAATCAACAAAAGACAGGAAATAACCTTTATTTATTTTCAGGGTTTTGCCATGTTTGTGTGTGTGTGATTTAGAAGGACACACATAGTAAAGGACACATAATAGTAAAATCTGAAAACTCCTGGTCTCCATGAAGTGGAAAGCCCGTGTGGAATATAAAACTCAAACTGATATATCAAAGTAGTACTTTGAGTGCCCTCTAGTGAGCCACTGGAAAAATTAGAACATTGTTTTCCCTCTGATCTGCAGATAATATAAATGACTAATCTGTATTAAGCTGTATATCTGAGTTGTCCCTCTCGTTTCCTTCCCCCTCTTTTTTTTAATAAAAAAGTTAAAGTTTTATTTTGCAAGAAAGTTTAAAATTATGGGCAACAAAAAGGAGGAGCACACATAATGATGTAAGTAGATCGATAATCAAGGGGGAAAGGAAACTTAATAATTACAGCTCGTGGTGGTACAATACAACAGATTATATCAATCTTGTGGAGGCTGTGACTGTACTCAGGGATGTCAGCCAAGACTATGACCATGTGAATTGTATTGCCAACCCTCTGATTTCAATCAGAATACTCAATGAAAGATGTTATCCCAGTCTTGACCCCAAGGACTGGAAAACTCGTCCATCATGTGAGGAAAGATTCCATGTAGTAAAGTTTTCAGCAGCAGTCACATGGCTATTTGTTGTCCTTCTTTTAATTGAGAGAACCTCACTTGCATGATATACATAAAAGACCTAAGAAGCTGTATCTGTGCCTTTAGGTCAGGGGTCTGCAACCCGCAGCTCCGGAGCCGCATGTGGCTCTTTTACACCTTTGCCGTGGCTCTGGGGCGGATACTAGTGAGGGGAGGAGGTGCATTGTGCGCCCCGAAACTCCCCACTGTGGCGGGCGCTGTACTGGCTGTAACGTCGCATGGGGGTGGTGCGTGCATTAGTCACGCACTGTCCCGACGTCACCTTCCCGGTTTTGCGGCTCCCAGTTTGTTTTTCTTCGGAAAAAGGGTCCAAGTGGTTCTTTTTGTCTTAAAGGTTGCAGACCCCTGCTTTAGGTGATGGATGGCCAATTAAACAGACAGTAGGCGACTGTGGTGTGGTTCTTCAGAAGGAGAAACTGGTTGTGGCATCCTATTCCAACTTGATGCCCTCCAAATATTTTGCATGGCAAATTTCATCATCCCTAGCCACTGGCCATGCTGTCTGGGCTGATGGGAGTTGTAGGTCAACCCATCTAGGGGACACCAGGGTGGGAAAGGCTGGGCTATGGCATAGAGTCAGGCTTCCAGTTCCGGTCTGTTTCTCTTACACAACATACTAGAGGGAAACACACATCAAAGCACAATGGTATGCATATGTACTGTAATAAAGTTGCAGTGTCTCACGCTGTAGAAAAACATGTGAAGTTCTCCCCAAAAAGTCTGGCCACCAGTGAATCTGGACATACTCATTGTTTTGCTGATATCTTTTTGATAGCCAGTCTGCTCCAAATAACACCTCTTGGTGTAGTTGTCAACACAATCCAAACTGTGCATATTATTCTTATTCTAATCCATCTCATAAATATTTTCTGGTGCACGGACACCAGTCTCCATAACATGTCGAATTCCTCCAGTGGCTGAGCTTGAGATTGCCACCTGACTGGAAAGAGCAAACAAATATAAATCACGTCTGGGCTAAATGAAATATGTGAAGTCATAGCAAATATACTATTGTTTGATCATTCAACAAATCTTAATATTCCCCAGTTTTTGGAGTCTACCCGCTAGGTTATTCTGACCTAGGACCTGGCTCCCTAAAGAACACCGTGTATTGTTATGAAGCTGTTCAGCTATTTAGTTCTTGCAGGAGGGGCCCTTTCGAGGATACTGCCATCTGCAGAGGCCCGCTTGACAGTCATGCACAAGAGCTCTTTCTCCTTATCGCTATCATATTCTAGAACGTGCTCCCCTCAGAGTCACGATTGGCCCCTTTTCCTTGTTTTTAGAAAAGGTATCAAGACACCTCTTTTTAATTTGGCCTTTTAAATATTTTAGTTGTGTTGTTGTTTGTACTGCTTTCATTGATTTTAACGTTTTTATTTCTGCGAGTAAAGCAACAACACTTGCAATAAGCTACCTGACCCCGTGAGGGGGAGACCGTGATAGAAAGAAAGACAGCCAGTTCTTCCTCACTTCCTTCTTTTTTAGTAACTATTTGTTGGTAAAGTAGATCACTTCCTTTCAGGCTTTAGTTCCTTCCTGGTTCTTCTCCAAGCTAGGGGTACTGTCTTGGTGACATGTAATACCTTTACTCAGAATGGCTTTGGCTGCCCTAAGTTTGCTGTGAGGCATCTTGATGCTGTTATGAACATGCGCTGCAGCATCCAGGCCATACACCTGAGGTCTATGTCAACTCCCTGCCAGCTCCTTACTTTTAAAAAAATTCGGAAGAAGTGTCGGAGAGGGCAGATGTAACAATCCCATTACAAATTATACAGAAACTGAAACAATCTGGGCCCATTTAAGGATAACCTGAGGAAGACTTGCTTTCTGAAACCATCAACATTGTACCTTATCAATATCTCTAGAAATAACTCAGGACCAAACAAAATGGACAAATTATGGTCATATGTTTTCTAGTGCTGAACTGAAAGTTACCAAGTGAGAACTAGTGACTCGAATTTTAAAATCTGGGGGACAAAACATATCCGCAGCTTTGTGTTTTGCTGCAGCGGCCGCCAGTTTTGTGGCAACAGCATTCTCCCTCCCCCTAAAATAATTACTCTGTAAATGGCATAGCATTGTTCTCAAGGATGTACTGAGAGATAGAAATGGTCACCAGAAATAACTCAATATACCCAGTGGGGTGTTTTGGGGTTGTTGTTTTTTACCTTTTCTTTAAGCAGCAGACCATTACTTCATTTCATAATCTGCTTTTGAAATTCCCCTCATTTCGAAAATTGGTATTCAGGCCTACCGTTCTGTCTGCTTCTCATAACTAGCCCCATGTGGCCTTGGGGGTGCTGCTGTTTGACACACATGGAAGTATTTGCATGCTTTAAATCCAGGCCTATAAACATCCTAATGTAACCCATGGTGTTACCTTATATATTTCCAATGAATGTGAATACGTAGCACTCCTGCTGAACTCTCCAACTCTAATATTACTTTACTTTGTACCAGAAAAATTGCAAGTTGTAGAATTACTATAGCATCTACTCTTCTTAGCATTAAACTAGAAACAGACTTGAATAGTAATTACCTTATAGAATTACTCATCTTCTGCTTCTTGTGTAAATACCCTGTGGGATGTTTTTAAAAAGCATAAATAATATAAAAGGCAGTTGCTTTCATTAGATTAAGAGTGAGATTAATATAGAGGAACTACCAAACAGTACTTCCTGATTTTACTGCCCTCCAGAAAGTCTGTCCTATTTCCATATTTGTATGCAGCAAGTAAATCATCCTGATTTTGCTAGTAAGGCATTACCTGAATATGTTTGCACTTTCATTGTTCCAAAATCCATTTTGATGAAAATTGGGTAATAGACAACCTGGTTACTATGGCAAGGTGACATATTGTCTCTCTTCTCTACTCCGCAGTATTGGCATAACGAATTACAGTAATTGGCAATGAATACCGTTTGTGTTTATTGGTATTAAAAAAATGTTATTAACTATATATGGTTGTTTGTAAAAGATGCTATGTTTTTAGTGAATAACAACAAAAAACAAGGATTGGTGGCTGCTATAACATCAGTGGACTGGACTTATTAAAAGCCAGAGGTGCCAACTTGAATAAAATATTGCAGGGGCCAGTAAGCCCCACCCTACATAAATGCTCACATGATGTGGCACACACATATAATTTGAACATCAATGCCCATCAACTTTGCCCCCCCCCCGGCCCCCTCAAATATTTTACTGGGTTGCCAAGATTCCTCAGCCCCTAGGATTTGGCTCCTATGCTAGAGGCATAGAAAAGTTGTAAATTGCATGCAGTGTTGGCATGAAAAGCTTTGTTTTTATATTGGGACAGGGATGGAGAACTTGTGGTCTTCCACATGTTGCTGGAATTCAGCTCCCATTCAGCATCCAGTAGTCAGGGATAATGAGAGCTGTAATCCACAAATTTAGCAACTCTGTGTATAGTTTACAAAAATTCATTAACAATAATGTACGACATTTCAACAATTTCTAATACAGTGATATCTCGGTTTACAAACTTAATCTGTTCCGGAAGTCCGTTCTTAAACCAAAGCTGTTCTTAAACTGAGGTGCGCTTTCCCTAATGAGGCCTCCCGCTGCCAGTGCCCTTCTACTGTTCAGCTTCTGTTTGTAGACTAAGGTAAAGTTCACTAACCGGAACACTACTTCCGGTTTTGCGGAGTTCTTATACCAAATAGTTCATAAACAGGGCTATTCTTAAACCAAGGTACCACTGTACATGAAACCTTAACTAATATATACAATGCCAAAATAATAACCACATGCGTAACTCAATATCTCAAAGCCAAATGGTCCAAATATTTCTGAAATACGTCCATTCGAACTACTCTCTATATGTGTACTTGTGCTGGTGCAAACCAACAGAGGGATGTAGGATACTCCAGAACAGATTTAGAGGGCAGAGGCATGGTGTGATGGGCCAGGGAGGCCATGGCCCTGGGCACACACCTGACTGTGCTCCCACAATAGGCATGGAGTCCTGCTGGCAGGCGAGTTTGACTAGTGGGCAGGTGGATAGAGGCAACAGGAAGTAACCTGTTGAAGGTGGGCTCTGTTCATCCTCCACAAGCACCCCCCTGGTGTGTGTCCCCATCCCAGCTACCCAGTCTACCAGGAGGTGCAATACTTGCCCCATCCCGGGAGCTGGCAAACCCATGCTACGCCACTGCATGAAAGGAGGGGAGGCAGAAAGACCCATTGTGCTAGTGGTGATCCTTACACCATTGGGACCTTGACATAGCGCTGCATTGAATACAATCCTTTAGTCCCACAAATATTGACTAATAATGATACTGCATCTCTTCCAGCACTAGCCCTGAGAGATTCTGTCTTCCCTCCCTCATTTGCCAATGTTGAAAAATATATAGCGAAATTCTGCAAAACTACAGGAATACTTACACTTAAGTGCCAGCATTGCCACAATGAGCAATAATACTACTGCACATGTTCCAGTGCCAATATATAGGACTGTCCTTGAAGGTTCTTCTTTTCTTTTCTCTCTTTTTAGTGTGGTAAAATGTACAGAAATATTCTGCAAAAAAATATATACAGAAATGACCTCACTGAGTAGAAACTGAAAAGTGCAATACAAACACTTATGTCCAGATATAACAGATTACCTTTCAAACAAGTTACTTATACAGAAATGGAATTAATAGGGTAATTTAGATGAGGTGAGCTAATCTGCTAGGAGTGTTATAGTACTGAAAATTATGCTTGTACTCATGAAATCTGATGAGATACCGTACTTTTCTGTGTATAAGACAAGTGTTGTTTTTTCCTTTCAAATGATCTCCAAACTGAGGGGTTAGTGCAGAATTGACACGGAGGATTGGTCGTTTTCGGGAGCAGGAGATTGTCAGTTGCGTTTGGGTGGGTGATCGGTGGCTGCGGCAAGCACTGCTTTCAATTTGCTGTGGTGGTGGCAATGGGGGGGTGATTTGCGTCATCTGTTGTCGCGCTGGCTAACGATTGGTGGGTTTTTCGAGTTGTGCTGCTCATTATGGTGGGTGAATGTTGTTGTTTTTTGCAATCAACCCAAAAAAGCTCAACAACTCTGGGCAATATCCCCCCATTTTCATAAATTTGAGTCCTCATAAATAGGGAGCATCTTAAAAATGGGGGTGTTTTAGACACAGAAAAATACAGTAAATTATTATCATAATGGTAAAAATGTCTGTTTTATATATCCATCTATGTGCACAGTACTTTACAAAGCAGAAAAGGACACTTTCAATCTGAGAACAAACACAGGGAAAGACAGTAGGTGGAGGATGGAGGCAAGATAAAACAAGAAGGAATATTAATTTAGTTATACTTAAGCTTAATAGAGTAGAGTATGGGGGGGGGAATAAGAGAGTCTGCCAAAGGCTCTCTGTAAGAGGAAAAGAAGAAGTCGTTTATTTATGGTTCACTCACCAAAAATGATGGATAGCAATAACAAGAAAGAACAATATTTAACACAGATAAGTTTTGGAAGGACATTTTGTACCTAAAAGTTATGTAACATTACCATCAATCTGCAAAGAGGCCATGCAGATACTTACATCCTGTGGGGATTGTGTGCTGGACATCCATCTTGGTTCCAAAGCAAAGTAAGTTTCAGTGAAGTGTATAGTAGCTGGACAAAGCAAAGATAAAGCAGCATACTCATTCATACAACCTGGATTCAAAGTGCTGGTGCTGACCTTTAAAGCCCTAAATGGCCTCAGCCCAGTATACCTGAAGGAGCGTCTCCACCCCCATCATTCAGCTCGGCCGCTGAGGTCCAGCGCCAAGGACCTTCTGGTGGTTCCGTCATTGCGAGAAGCAAAGCTACAGGGAACCAGGCAGAGGGCCTTCTCGGTAGTGGTGCCCGCCCTGGGGAACGCCCTCCCATCAAATGTCAAGGAAATAAACAACTATCTGACTTTTAGAAGACATCTGAAGGCAGCCCTGTTTAGGGAAGTTTTTCATGTTTGATGTTTTATTGTATTTTTAATATTCTATTGGGAGCCACCAGATGGGTGGGGTACAAATAAATAATTATAATTATAATTATAGCTGTCTTTGTCTTTGAATACATAAATGGATGCTTCTGGATGATGAGTCCCATGTTATATGCATGGATAAGAAAATCTAGTGTTGTCAGTTTAAAATGGGAGATAAGCACACTCACTATTTCTTCTAATTTATTCTTTCTTCTTTTCTTTCAGAGTTACAGTCAACACTTCATTTCACTCCATGCTTCACTAGACTTGAGACTAACCAATGGAGACTAACAAATTCACAATCCATCTATATGCACATACCTGGTACTCTAGCTGAAGTTGGACTCCAGTTCCCTGATTAAGAAAAAGAACAGACAAGTCAGTTGCACCATACCATATTTAGCAAAAATGTAAGTCTTTGTTGTATTACAGGGGTGGTGAACCTCTTTGAGCCCAACTACCTGATTTGTACCTGTCCAACGTTCCAAGGGCCAAAGTTCTTACAGGTATGTCCTGTTTGGAAGAAATTGTCTCACAGACCATTTGACAGGACCTGGCAGGTCTATTTAGTTTGCAGGCTTAAGGTTCCACACTACTGCTATATTAGCTTTGGGTACAAGCCCCAAAAGCATTAGATACAATGGAATATATTTAGCACTTTTTGGACTTGTGCCTGAAGCTAATATAGTAAAGAATTGTGTGAACATCTACTGGCCATTGAGGTTTACCAAACTATGGATGGCTGTGCAGAAGTTGCATTCACACATATACTTTGGACTTGCCCAGTGGTCTCTTCCTTTTAGCAGGAGATCAACTGCTGTCTCGTTTTTAGTTTTACTTTTCATTCCAGCAGAGGTCAACTATGACCAAGCCCTCTGATCATGAACCAAATTCCTGCTGCAACTTTTATATTTCAGCATGTCATATAGCCTGAAAATCTGAGCCATCAACTTGTTGGATTGAAGTCTTGCTTGGCACAGGACTATTTCTAAGAATATGAGAATGTAACAGCAGAAACCCTCTCTTCCTCCCTACCTTTAGCTGTGAGTGTAAATACAGATGCATATTTGTTTGTGAAGGAAATGTGATTATTGGGTAATTATGAAGAATTTAAGGGCATAATGACAAAAGAACTGCTTTGCTGCAGTAAACCAAAAGCCCATTGAGTCAGGAAATAATTTACATTTAGCTATTGATACCCATCCTCTGCAAATATGCATAATCATTTTTTAATGCTACCCATGTTTGGCGGCGGGGGGGGAATAGACATATGATTTATTGGGATTGCTAGCCTTCATAGCAGAAGCTCTACCTTTTTTGTAAAAAGTTTTATCAAGACCCTTTAACATTTTGCCAAGCTTAAAAATATGCTGCAAATATTGTCTTAGGTAGTGACAAACTGGCATATGCCTGGTGGAAGCATTCTGCTCACCTTTCTCAATCACAACTTCAATGTTATGTTTCAGATCGTTGAACAAGCCACTTATGTCCACACGACAACAGTATGTTCCCGAATCTTCTTCTGTTACGTTCACAATTGTCAGAGACACATCTCCTTGATGAACATCTCCCAGTAGATAATACTTGCTATCCTTCTTATATATTGATTTCCGTTTGTTGGTCTGGAAAATTTGACTGGAACACCAAGATAGAGGGCAACTTCCTCGCCCCCAGCATATGGTTCTGATCCCATTTTCCACAGTAGAATAATGACAGGGTAAAGTGATGTTCTGGCCCACTTTTCCCTGTATTGTAGTCCCAGCAACTGATGTCAACAAGCATGTAGGGGAAGACACTACAGTTACAAAAAAGGAAAGAAAAAAGGAATGGAATTGTGACAAACTGTGGGAACATCACTGTATTTGTAAAAAAGATTTCCATCTCAGCAACTTTCCTAAAGCCTAATATTATGCTGACTTTGTAATTTGAAAATATTCTTCCCAGGCATATATTCCAACACCTCGCCTCAGTCTCTTGAGTTGAAGCCAAGAAAACGAAGAGCAAACACACCCAAACTAAGCTGAACAATAATATGGGTGCTCAAACATGAAGTATGTTTCTCCATGACAAAATGTGTAGTCATTTATGGGGGGGCAGATTATAGGGCTGTATCCAATGGAGTCCATTCTAGTATCAGAAAGCTCTCTGAGCTAATAGAACTGTTATGGTTTGGAGTTACTTGTGCGAACCCGTTTGGGTGCTTGGTTGCCTGGTTAACCCTTCGGACGCACAGCCCATCTCTCGATTCAGTCAATGCAGAATCTGTCTGTGGGCGTTCTTAAACTCTGCCAGCTAAAGCTTTGACACCTAACCGTAAAGTAGCGGAGTCCTGGGCTCCCACTGATCCAGGAAGATCCCGAGCCCCCTCTCTCCCTGCTGTAGAAGAATGGAGAAGGAATGTGATTTTTGAATGGGGGACCTTTGGAACATTGTGGAAGGTGGTGGGGTTGCAGGGAAGAGGGTGAGTTATAGGCTCCCTGTTCTGCTGAGAAACTCTTTGCTGGATCAAAGAGCTTTCCACCAGCAGAGGAATACCATTGGATGCAACTTGTAAATGTTAACTTTTCAATAGCAGTCATCACTTATGCACTTCAGTGGAAATTTCTGAAATGTTTAGTAAATTCTTTAGCAAGCAACAAAAACTAACTGATAAATATTCTTGTTAAACAAATCAGTTTAGAGCAGTGGTTCCCAAATAGGGGTCCGGGGACCCCTGGGGGTCCACGGAACACACCCAGGGGACTTGCTTATCTTGTTATTTGCACGATGAAAGCCTTCCACGGATCATCCACCCTCTGCTCGTGACCAGTGCCTGCTTGCTGGCCAGGGAAAAAACTTGTGAAAGAGTTGCTGGGTGCCAAGTGAGCTGGGATTGAGCAAAAACCTCTGACACAGTTTCTTAGGGCTTTTGCGACTGGAGGGGGCAGGGGAGAGGAGAGCAAATGGTTCGCTCCACGGGGCGGATTGACATGCCTATCATTTTTTTTAAAGTAAGGGTTCCCTTCCCCTGTCCCCTTGCTCTCTACTTCCAAGGACTATCAAGTTTAGAGGATTCTCCCACTGCTTGTGGGTAGGGTTTGCAGTGAATCTTGCCTTATGAGTTTGGGATTCAGGTCTCAGCTTGGAAGTCCAACAGGGAAAATAGCTAAGCAAATTGCCACCATGATTAGCATAGCATTTTGTTTTCTTGTTTTCTGAGTCAAGACATGTGGCTACATTTGGGGGTGGGAGGAAACAGACGTAGGGCAGAAACCAAAATAAATTAAAAGTTGGTTGTTTCTATTGGGTAATAAGCAAGAATAAAAACCTCACTCCAAATAAGTACTGTATTTAACTAATTAATCTATTTCAGCTGGGGATGAAACTTGGGCACAGAAGGACTGTATTATAAATTACTACTGCTGCTGCTATTACTACTACCACCACCAAAATTACAAAATTCCATCTGTTTTCTACTCAGTCTTCACCAATACTTTATCAAGCCCTGACCAAGCCTTCACCTATGTCTTGAAGGTGCAAGATCCTCAGATAGCAGAAATGCTACAAAGCTTAAGATGCACATCTAATACAAGTAAGGAAAGCATATAAAAGCTCTGCAAAAGCATGCACACTTAAAAAATATTGGGGGGGGGCCGGGAACTCTAATATAAAAGCTCATGATACATAAAGCGCTCTCGTGAGCGATAGGGGAGACGTGCTGCGCCTATACAGCATAGCTTTGCTAAAGCATGCAGCCCGCCCTCCCTGTGCATTTTGGGCTGGGGGAGGGGCGGCGATGGCGCTCTGCTGGAGGGGCGCCGGAGATTATTGGGGGGGCGGAGCCCCCCCAAACGAATTTTTGAGGGGGCTCGGGCCCCCTCAAGCCCCATGGAGTCGGCGCCTATGAGCACTTGCAAGTTCTATACACAGTTCCTTTTTTAAAATTCAGTTGCAGTGTAGCTAGCAATGGAGAACTTTTCCTACTGTCTGGGGATAGGCAATAGCTCAGGGTAGAACATCTGCTTTGCGCATGCCCTGGCACCTCTGGGTAGGACCGGCAGAGATCCTTATCTGAAATCCTGGAGAGCTACTGCCATTCACTGTAGAGACAATACTGAGCCAAATGGATCAGTGGTCTGACTCAATAGTTTTTCTGACAGATTCAAAATTTCATGTGATCAGTTGAACAACTTTCTGTGGTTGTGTATGGTAGCCTACTTAGCAGACATTTTCACATACTTGAGCACTCTCAACACAAGCCTTCAAGGTAATGATGTGAATATTTTTTTATGTTGAAGATAAGACTGCGGCAGTGATTTAAAAATTATGATTATGGGCAAGCTGAGTATAAGGTGGTAGCCTCACTAATATCCCAACACTGGAGACATTTCTGGGGGCCAGTGACATAGAATTGATGCCAGAAGTAAAACATTACATCACTGAGCACCTGCGTGATTTAGCGACCAGCATCAGAGATTACTTCCCTGCACAAAATCCTGAGCACTCATGTGTAAGGAATCCTTTTGAATGTGGTGATGCACAACTATCTGCAGAAGAGCAAGATGTACCTGTTGATGTGACTTGTGATGGTTCATTGAAATCATTTTTAAAAGAATGTAGACTGGACCAATTCTGGGTGAAGGTTTTTGCTGATTATAAGACGTTAGGTGAAAAAGCTTTGAGACATCTAGTTCCCTTTTGGTTCCACATATCATTGTGAACAAACATTTTCAACATTTTGTTATATGAAGACCAAGCATAGAAATCAACTTGCTGCTGAACCAGACTGGAGGATAAAAGTAGGACATATTGAACCAGATGTGGAAAGGATTGTTTGGGACTAAACGAGGCATGATTTCTCCCATCACATTTAGCTTTAGTGTGAGAAAAATATGTTCTCTACCAGAAACAAAAGAGCATTTGTGCTGGTGGGAAGCCCCTTGGCGGTTAAGGACTGTGGTCAGATTTCGCAGGAACAGAATATCATTTTCTTTCAAATGCTGAAGTCTGTATGCTGATAGCATGTGACTCATATCCTCACAGCTCTTGCTGACGCTGTTGAGTAGAGCCCCGTGTTTCAAATCATACAATTTGATACTGTGCGGGGATATCATAGCATATTGTAGCACAGAACCAGGTATTCTGGAAACCTAGGGTGCATGTGAGGTTTATAGTTTTCACATGGTTATCACAAGGATCTGTTCCAGTTAGGTGAACATGCATTACATGCAGTCAGCCTCAATAATGTCTTAATATGTCACATGGTTGATGCTGACTGTTAGGAAAAGAATGTAGTACTAGTGCTTAAGCTCTTGAAATCGTATACCATATGCACATAATAGCAGCATGTTAACTTTCTCTCATTCCTGCATCTTCATCCCTAAGCACATTTACTCAGAGGCAAGTCAATTTAGGTACCGTATTTTTCGCTCTATAACACGCACCCGACCATAACACGCACGTAGTTTTTAGAGGAGGAAAACCCATAGGCATGCCACCCGTAGGCATTCCCTCCATAACACGCACAGACATTTCCCCTTACTTTCTAGGAGGAAAAAAGTGAGTGTTATGGTGCAAAAAATACGGTATATATCTGGTATTACAGCCTTAAAAGGAGTATGTTAGAAATCACAATCATTTGCCAGATGTCTGGTCTTGAATTAAAGAGAATTAAATATTTACAGACTGAACAATTACACTGTACAAGTCTAAAACAATGATTTCACAATTTATAATTTTGTTAATGTTTGATTACCTGTAAACACCACCAACAGAATTCGTTCCAGGGGAAACATGGTGTAGGCTTAGATGGCAGCAGAGGGTGGCTTTGTTCCTACTGCAAGCGGAGATTTAACAGAATGCTCATTTCACAACCAAGCTTCTGACTTCTCTAATTTCTGATCTACATCATGTGTGACCTAAGTCACAGCACTCAGTAGCAGGCTTTCTTTCTTTCCCCCACCCTGTGGTTAGTTCACATCTCACTGGGCCACCCAATGCTGGTGTTTGGTAAATACTGTGGACATCTTGGTTAAAAGGCAACAAACTTCCACAGCAATGACAAAATGCTTTGCTCAGGACATCAGAGGATGGGATTTGTTCTGTACAGTACTCCCATAATCTTCAGAAATTGCCCATAAGATTTAAATGTGAAGATAAAGGCTTTCTCATTATACTGTTCTACACCATTTTTTTTATTGCAAAGTGTGGCTGGAAAGTTATGTGTAGACAGGGAATTAGCATTCAGGCTAGGATTCAACTATTACAGGGTCTTGATGTTGTTCAAATTAATGGCTTGCTAAAGCAACTAATAGATTAGAATTAATCTAGCGCATGCACATTCACTGTGTCTTTAAAGAGAAAGAGAAGCAACCAAGCCTCCCTCCCCATTTCCAGGGGTGGAGGACATGGTGGTGTGGCAGTGCTTATCTGGAGAGCTGAATCGCTGATTACTGGGAAGGAGTGGGTGAGGTCGGTGCAGTTCAAATGCTCTAGCAGAAGCACCAGATTGGGTCTGCCGGTGTGTTTGCATTGCACTAACCTCCTTGTGTTAAGCAGCAGTGACACTACTGTTTGAAGGTCAGGTAAGCACCACTGTGAGCAGCTGTCTGCTGTTGCCTATTTTGTGCCTTAATCTTGCCAACATCTTGAGTTTTATAATACATGCAGCTGCATCAACTTCAAATGATAAAATTCAGAAAAACTGCATCCCCAGAGGGTATTATTTGTGGATTTTATGACACCCACTAGGTGGTATTCAACTAAATTTTATTCAGAGTAGAGCCATTTAAATGAATGGAACTAACTTAGTCATGTTGATTAATTTCAATAAGGTCTCCTCTAAGTAAAAGTTGAACATCACCCATGGAGTTGGCTCCAGGCTAAGTTAATTGAGCTTAAGTTCCAATCACTTAAATGAGGCGTTAGTTATTTTTTTAATATAAATCCCATTGAAATCAATGGGATTTAATTTTGGTCACTACTAGCAACCAAAGTCGTGGCACTTTAGTACATGTGCACAATAAAATCCAATGCACAACAAATGTTGATTTCTGAACATGGTGAATGCCTTAAAGAACTCCAAAGCCTTATTTTGACTGACTACTGGGGTTTGCATGAGCAACCATAAATAAATATTGCATTCAATTCAGACAATATTGAGAGGATAGCTTATGAAGATATGCTTTTCTCAGCTAAACAGCACCACCAATTTTTATTAGTGCACAACAATGCACTAATGATTTAGTTTCAGATTAACATAAATTGTTTATAGCAATGCCACCAGCAATAGATTCCTCCCCAACCCCCAGGAGACAGCCCCTGTTAAAATCCATAAATTCAATAAATAATGAATGCAATGTACTGAATAATATATTGGTAATTTCAGCATAATAATTGCTTTTCTTAACCAAGGAGAAACAAAAAAGTAGCATCTTACTTTGTAAAGGTAAAGGGACCCCTGACCATTAGGTCCAGTCGTGGCCAACTCTGGGGTTGCGGCGCTCATCTTGCTTTATTGGCCACGGGAGCCGGCGTACAGCTTCCGAACCACCAGTGCACGGAAACACTGTTTACCTTCCCGCCAGAGTGGTACCTATTTATCTACTTGCACTTTGACGTGCTTTCAAACTGCTAGGTTGGCAGGAGCAGGGACCGACCAATGGGAGCTCACCCCGTCGCAGGGATTCGAACCGCTGACCTTCTGATCAGCAAGTCCTAGACTCTGTGGTTTAACCCACAGCGCCACCCGTGTCCCTATCTTACTTTGTAAGAGAAGAAAATAGCAATTCATCTCATTACTCCTTCAACCCAATAAAGAGTTTAACCCATACCCAGTGCAGAAATCTAGTGTGGACAGTCACAAGCCAGTCCTCACAAAACAGCCCTGTACCATTGCTGTCTGTTTCAGTCTAGCTTTTTGAGCCTGCTGAAACCACATCCTGTATGAAACAGAAAAAAGGAACCTGTCCATTGCTGATTTCAAGAATAGACTGGTGTTTATATTCTTGCTGATTCAACCCTTGACATTTTCCCTAGCCAAGACATACATAATTATTATTTATTTACTGATTAAATACATTTTAGTTTGTTTTAAATTAGTATTTTGCCCTTCATTCCAAAGTGCAAATATATCACATAGGACACTGGGTTGAGGAACCCATGGCCCTCTTAGTGTTTTTGGATTCCAACTTATCTCACCCTTAGCCAAGATTCATAGCTCTTCCTTCTATAATTTTGCTTTTAATTTGATTGATACCTGTCCTAAGGCCACATGGGTGTGTGGGAATTAAATAAAAAACAATAACACCCAGAGATGGTGGACAAAGGAGGCATGGCAGTCCAGCTAACTGTGGTCCAGACCAGTGCTTTGAAGCTAATGCGCCATCATCACTTTATTTTGTATATAAAAAAGGAGTCCTTTTAAATGTTCCCACTTTCTCGGGAGCTTATGAAGAGCCTGTTTATCAGCAGGACACGGGTGGCGCTGTGGGTAAAAGCCTCAGCGCCTAGGGCTTGCAGATTGAAAGGTTGGCGGTTCGAATCCCCGCGGCGGGGTGCGCTCCCGTTGTTCGGTCCCAGCGCCTGCCAACCTAGCAGTTCGAAAGCACTCCCGGGTGCAAGTAGATAAATAGGGACCACTTACTAGCGGGAAGGTAAACGGCGTTTCCGTGTGCGGCTCTGGCTCGCCAGAGCAGCAATGTCACGCTGGCCACGTGACCCGGAAAGTGTCTCCGGACAGTGCTGGCCCCCGGCCTCTTGAGTGAGATGGGCGCACAACCCTAGAGTCTGTCAAGACTGGCCCGTACGGGCAGGGGTACCTTTACCTTTTATGCAGGAAGCTGACTGGGGATGCAGTCTCCCCCAAGCTAACTGGCCTCCCCTGCCTTGACATGAAAACTATGCACAAGTTAATTTGTTTTATTTAGTTAGTTTTCAAAATCGTCATCTCCTAATCACATGGAAGGGGTTTTCTTTAATTTTCTACAGTTATAGTCATGGTTTTCGATCCCAGTGAGTGGGAAGCAACTGTGTCAGGATGAGTGTGAAGAAGCCCAGAATTTGTCACCAGGCCCTCTACCCACTGGCAAAAGCAATTGTTGGCCAAGAAACTATCTCCGGGAGACACTTAGTACAGTGGTACCTCGGGTTACCAAGGGACGCGGGTGGCGCTGTGGGTAAAACCTCAGCACCTAGGGCTTGCCGATCACATGGTCGGCGGTTTGAATCCCCGCGGCGGGGTGAGCTCCCGTCTTTCGGTCCCAGCTCCTGCCCACCTAGCAGTTCGAAAGCACGTCAAAGTGCAAGTAGATAAATAGGTACCACTTTCTAGCGGGAAGGTAAAAGGTAAAAGGCATTTTCATGTGCTGCACTGGTGCCGGTCGCCAGAGCAGCTTTGTCACGCTGGCCACGTGACCCGGAAGTGTCTCCGGACAGCACTGGCCCCCGGCCTCTTAAGTGAGATGGGCACACAACCCTAGAGTCGGACACGACTTGCCCGTACGGGCAGGATACCTTTACCTTTACCTTGGGTTACAGTCGCTTCAAGTTACAGACTCCACTAACCCAGAAATAGTACCTCGGGTTAAGAACTTTGCTTCAGGATGAGAACAGAAATTGTGCTCTGGTGGCGCGGCAGCAGCAGGAGGCCCCATTAGCTAAAGTGGTGCTTCAGGTTAAGAACAGTTTCAGGTTAAGTATGGACCTCCGGAACGAATTAAGTACTTAACCCGAGGTACCACTATAAAAGACATTCTAAGAATGACCATGCTTTTCAGCCGTTTCCTGAAGAAAAGGAAGAGAACTACTTCATCCTACAGCTGATTTAAAGTGTTTGCATCTAAGGCTGTAGTTTTCACCCTGCTTTTAAGTGTCACTGTACTATTACTCTAAAGCAGAGATACATATTTATTTTATTACATTTATATACCACCTTTATCTTCCAAGGATCTAAAGGTGGGTGTACATGGTTCTCCTTGTACTTGGTGTACGAAACTAGTTTACTCATGTCCCTAATGCATGACTAAATACATTCTTTATGAAGGCAGCAACATAGAATGTCGTGGCAAAACCACAACCAAGATATTTCTTCATTTTTTAAAAATAAATGTGGGTAGAATAATACTGTACTTATGAGGGAAATAATCATAATTTGCAAGTTAGGTGCTGCCCTCTTTTGCCAACTCACAGGAAAAACACGGCAAGTATGATTGAACCCTTAATGTCACAAGAATGACAACTAAAAAAAAACCTGCCATACACAGTGAATTTAGTAGAAATGTTTAATACATGCACACTCCTGTTTCATTCCTGAGGCAAAGAAACAATGTTTCATAAAATCAAGAGGATTCAAAGTAGAACACACTGATCCAAAGTATCTAATTTAAAGAGGGGAAAATACATAGGAAGTCCATTGGCAGGAGAGCCAGTAGCCATTGTGTGGAAGTGGGACTCTAGATGCTGATTTTCATGCAGAACCCCTCTCCCCGCAGTACCAACATTGGGTTGCTATCCATTTTGGGCTGGTGGTTCTACTTCTAAGTTTCCACCTCCACTCCTATCTTTCCTGAATTGTATCCATGGCAGCATTGAACTATCCAATATTCTAAAAACAAAAAACCTCTTGACCTACTGATATTAAAATTCAGAAAGGAAATTCTTGGATGCTTTTTTGCTTATATTTGGCATAACATTGTTTGCAACAGTCTAGCAATATTGTAGAATATGCCTTTTGCTCTGACTGAAACAAAGAACCACCAGAGTACAGAACTTCCCACACACAATCAGGAAATGAGTTATCAGCGGAATCTGGGCAGTAATAAATGACAAAAGTGATGCTTTCCAGAATAAAGCCATCTATCGGTTTTACTTTTATTTAAAGCCAAGTAGACAAAAACATAGTGCACACTGAAATACTATAAAAATAAATCAGAGTTTATTGTCTCTTACAGACCATGTTCCATGATTGCTCATTAAGTATCACTATCAAAAGGCAGCATAGAAGAAAATCTCAAACTCTACTGAACCTCTTCAGCATCAGTTTCATTTTCACTCCCAATAACTTT